AAGTCCATTCCCGGGGTGATTGGGATCCGGCATACGCGGCTGGTGCTTGGAGTGAACGTTGACAGCGAACTCGGAAAGTACTGCACCGATTTTCTGGATTGAACGTAGTTCGTGTTCCCCGTCTGGAGCTTGTAGTCGAGGCTGGCCACGAGCTCGTCATTGACGGCTTGCGTAACCTGCTCCATCACTCTTTACATAGCTATGCAGCTTCCGGTTCGCTCGCCTGACGAAGGGCGTCGAAGGACGGCTGGGTCCCCAGAGGCCCGCGGTCGGAGCGGGACTGCCGGCTGATGCGGGAGCGGTCGCTGCCGGAAGACACTGGGATCGGGATGTTGTTGAGGCCGAAAGGGGTTTGGGCCTGGGCCCTGGGGCGCCGCGCCGGGCGGGCCACGATGCGTTGCTGGGGCTGGGGCCGCGGCTCGCTCTCCGAGTCCGTGTCGATCCTGAAGACCTCCGGCCTCCGCTGGGCTCGGCGCTGCTCCTGGATGAAATAGTGGTCCACGGCGCCCGATTCCTGCATCCCGTTCAGCGTCGCAAGGTCCGTGGTCGCGCTCGGCCGCGAGGCGTCGGAGTCCGTGCCGCCGCCCGTGGCTGCTCCCCAGCCCATCAGGTGCGAGGCTGCGTTCAGCCCACCTTCGATGGCCCAAGCCGTTCCGACCAATGCTGTGCCTGCAGCAGCCACTGCCAGGCCGCCGCTCGCCGCGCCCACGGCGCCGGCCGTCGCCAGGGCCCCCTCGCCCAGCAGCGCCAGAGCCCCCGTTCCCGCTTCCGCTGCAGTTGCCGCTTCGGCAGCGCTCGCCGCGGCCTCCGCCGCCGTCGCGAAGCCTTCGGAGGCCTCCGCCTCGGCCAGCTGCTGCGAAGCGAAGGCCTCGATGTCTTGAGCGGCCGCGCGCTCCACCTCCGCCGCCCTCTGCCCGGCTCTCTGGAGCAGGGGCTCCACTTCGGAGGGTCTTCCGATGATCTGAGGGGGAGGGACCTCGTCGGGCGGCGGGGCCAGCCCGGGCGGTCGCCTGGGGATGCGAAGGGTGCGATCCAGCCAGTCGCCGCCGCCCCTGAGGACGTTCATCGTCTGGTTCTCGGAGACGCTCCTCACCGCCGCCGCCGCGCCCGCAGCCCCCCCGGCGATGATGGCCTCCGCCGCCTGGATGCCCGACTCCCTCATCCGGCCGCCCAGGCTCGGGGGCCTCGGTGGATTGAGCCCGTCGTTCCTCAGGGCTTGCCCTGGATCCATGCCTCCGTCGTCGCTGTCCGGTAGGAAGGAGGGCCTGGTGAACTCTCTGGGCGGGCGGGGAAACGGAGTACCGCTGTAACCTTCGTCCGCTGTCTCGAAGGCGGCCGCCGGATTGATTGTGGTGTGCGGCATCGGTGCGGCGGAGATGGGCTCCGGAGCATTGGGGTAATCATCCAGGTAGAAGTGACTGGAGGTGTAGATGCTGGCCTTGCGGTTGGGCAGGGGAATGTCGAGGGGCTCGCCCTCGGCTATGTAGCCCAGGACCTGGCCGAAAGAGGGCTTGACGCGGAAGCCGTTGCTTCTGCGCTCCTCCATCTTGTTTACTAGAAGCTGATGTGCAGGGGCCGGTGGCTGTAGGAGCTGGAGGCGCGGGCCCGCTGCACGCTCTCCGAGTTCGCCACGGGGTCCCACTTCAGCGAGAGCTCCCCGCTGGCGCCGCTGGTGAACCTGTAGAATTGGAAGGTCGTGTCGCGCGGCTCGCCCCACTCTTCCCGCAGGGCACGCTTCTGCTCCTCCGAGAGCTCGTCGTCGAAGGCCACGGAGACGTGGAGCGGGTGAGGCTCCGCGTCCCGGCGCTTGAGAGGGGACTTGCCCTCGAGGCCGATGGCCCAGAGGCTCGGGGCGCCCTCGCGGTGCGGCGGCAGCTGGGTCAGCTGGGCCTTCCGCGTGAGCCCGTCGCGCAGGAGCTCCCGCTGCACCCTGTAGTACTCCGCGTCGTCGGGGCGCTCCCGGTACCAGTCGCGCTTCTCCTGCTCCGACCAGTCGCTCTCAGAGGCTTGCTCCGCAAGGCTGTCGAACATTTATGTGAAGGCCGCGCTTCCCCAGGTAGCTCTTCTCGCTGGCCCTTTGGACGATCTCGCACAGGTAGCTCAGAACCAGCTTGGTCTCCGCCTCGTAGCGCACCAGGACCCGCTGGGGCCGCGCCCATCGGCGGCGCAGGAGCCGGAGGATCTCCTGGCCCTCATCGTCCTGCAGTTCTTCTTCGTAGGCCAGCGGGATCTCCGCTTCCGGGCTTTCGAGGAACCACATGCCCTCGCGCTTCGCGAGCTGCAGGTTCAGCTTCATCTCACATAAGGCCGCCATAGACCTGCGACTCGCTCGTGTTTCTTCCTGCGGCCACGTCCCTGGCCATCCTGTGAACGCCCGCGCGCTCCGCGGGAGCGTAGCGGAGCTGGGGGAGTCGGCGGTTGACCGCCTCCGTCATCCGGCCGAGCTCGTCGGCGTAGGTCTCGCCCTCCTGCCGGAGCCGGCGGTTGGAGAGCCACTTACTGTGCGTCCAGATATTGAGATTTCATGGTCAACGCCGGATTCGCAAACTCATGCATCAGGTTATGCTGGGGAATGGCAGGGTCCACATACCATGTCGGGAGCGACCAGGCACAGCACATTCTACACACCATTGCTATCGTGTGGTTGCTATTTCTGTGCACCTGGGCAACACACCGTCCACAGGTCATTATCGTGCGGTACTGATGGCTCAGGGCTCATCTGAGGACGCACTAGGAACTGGCGAGCATGCGGCTGATACGACTTACATCTACAACGGTGCATTGTACACTGATGATGGTTGCGATGCTGCTCCAGTTCTTGGGGGGGACGTGCATGCCATTTCGTGCAACATGTATCTCTTATGGTGCATCCGATTGGAGTGATTCTGCATACAACTTTCTGCGAGCTTTTACTGTGCAGTGGGAGCTTTGGCAGTGCAGTGCAAATTTCCTTTATGCCATTTCAACTTCTGAGTGAGTGCTGTCCTGACTGACGTGATGCATCATGTAGTGCTGCATGTGCTTAGCTGTGGCATGTCAGTTTTTGGATTAGTTACTTTTTCACACCTCTGTAGTACGTTCCAGCCTGCTTGGCATTCGTGCCGAGGCTTGGAATCTGCTTGTGGTACGCCGCGGGATTTCTGCTAGAACCGCAACCTTGAGTTGCCGGTATGGCCACTGCGCTATACTGTAAATTATCTCGCTAGCTGTGCTCACTCACAGTGCGTCTGAAAGAAAGGCTTGCGCCTCGACGAGCTGCTGGTGCCGGCGACGCATGAGGGGGTTGAGGTTGTAGCTCGGGTACATCTTGTGAAAGGTCCGCAGCATCTGCGATTCGTTGCGCCGCTCGAGGGGCATCATCCTTTTATAGGAGGGTACTTACCGGTTGCCGTCCGCGCGGCCTTGGGAAGGCCCATTGTGGACCAGTACCGCTCGACCTCGTCCAGGAGCCAGTCTACGTTGTTGCAGATCTCCCAGCCCATGTGCCGGCGCAAGAAGATGGCGGCGCCCTCGGCGTCTCCCAGGCATTTCAGCTCCTCCACGATCTTTTTGTAGCGCTCGCAGCCGGGATTCAACAGAACCTGGTCCCAGAACCTCTTCTCGCAGGCTCGAAGCTCGTGCAGCTGGTCGGCCAAGGGCTCTCCTTCGTCCAGGGGGTCCTCCATTTGTTTTGTTGTTCCGCGCAAAGTCGCGGCCGCCGAACGTATCAGAGCTCGTGCGTGTTTCGTGCGAGCAGCTCCATGTAGCGGTCCTGCCGCTGCATGTAGCGGAGGGCCCGCTCCTGTGCAGGCGTCATTCTGACGGGCTCGACGGGCGGAGCGGGGTCGGGCTGCGAAGTCTCGGGCTGGGCCCTCGGAGCAGGATCGGCGGGAGCACGCTCGGGAGCTGGTGCTGGGACGGCCTCTTCGGCGGGCACCGTCTTGGGCGGCTTCGGCTTGTTTTTGGAACCGGGCGGGCGGCCGCGGCGTTTGGGGGCTGGGGGCTCCGCGGGCTTCGGGGGCTCAGCGGGCTCCGGCAGAGGCACGGCGGCTGGAGCCGGCTCAGGCTCTGGCGAAGCCTCGGGCTGAGCCACCGGAGGAGGCTCCGCAGCTTCAGGAGCCATGGGGGGCTCCACATTCTCGGCCATTTCTTTTAAGGATTCTTTTTATTGGTCATATTCCAAGAAAATCGCAAAAGAAACGCTGGTCCCGCGGGTATTCACTACATTGCCATCTACGTCAGTGAGCTTGAAACGCAAAGTGCGCAGGGTAATGGGACCGTGCAACTTGACGAAATGACCCTCGTCTGTTCTTGTTTGCATGATATTGCCGACGCCTTTGTCGATAATCATTTTGCAGATGATATCGTTGCCCAGAGGCCCCTTGATGTCGGCGCCAGTGGCGAGGGTGCTGCATCTGAGCAGCAGCTCTGAGTATGGGTTCATCGTGACGAACACGAAGATCTGCAGCGCTCCATCGATAAAACTGGGGCCGAGGAGGTGGTTGATCGAGAGCGGCCGGCTCGGCGTGGCGCCGGCGGGGTAAGAACCGGTGCCTGGGAACAGGCTTCGGATCTCGTAGTCGTTGAGTATGCGGCGGTTGCCGTCGTAGGCCACACCGATTTCATTCGTTTGCTCCACGTAGGTGGCGCTCGCGTAGTTGCTGCTGATCCAAGCGGCCAAACGACTCCCCGTGTAGGCTCCCGTGGGGAGCACCGCCCAGTTGAGGGTCTGCAGCGCCTCGTCGATCCAGTACAAGTACTGGCCGCGGTCCGTGGAGAGAAAGGCGTCTGCCACCCTGAACTTGAAGACGCTGAGCTTGGCGCCTGTCTGCAGATGCAGGGTCTCCCCGATGTCAAATTCAAAGCTGGAGTCGTCCCCCGCAGTGCGCTTCCGGGAGTCCACGTAGATCGTCGTGCTCATGGCTCTTTTCCTGTAGCGGCGGAACAAACTCCGTGCCGCCGTCTTGTCGGACTCGTTGCTGATCTGCCGGAGCCGCTCCGGGTAGGCCAGCCGCCCCGGGTCATACACGCCGCTGCTGCTGCAGCACCTGATGTTGTGGCACTCGCTCTCGCAGATCGGGCCGCTCCCCAGCAGCTTGCCCACCACTTGGCTGAGGATCGTCCCCATCTTCGTTTACGAGGAATTTGCGATCGAAGCGCACCCAAAACATGTCCTCTTTGGGGGCTCGCAGGTTCACGTACCAGAAGCTGTACTTCTCCCTGGTGGCCTCCTGATACATGCCGTAGAGCACGTCCTTGGGAAGCATGGCGCTCAGTTCCTCCACCAGCGCATCTAATTCAAGCTGGTTGCGCAAGCGGAAGACGCAATAGAACATGGTGTTCACGCGCACGGCGCTGCTCATGAGTCGCAGCTTCTGGGTCGACACCCAGGTACTGATGCAGTAGTGCCGGCCGCGGATGAACAGGGTGTCCAGGATCCCATCGCCCGTTTTGCGGTGCACGTGCGGCGAGTCCGCCAGATCATCGAGACACACGAGCACTTGAAACAGTTTTTTCATCCCCAGCTCCTTGGATTTCTGGGTGATCTTCTTCTGTTGGGCCAGGATTTGCCGCAAAGCGTCCTCATTCCAGTCGTCCCACCAGCACTGCTCGCGGTCCGTGTTGACCCCCAGGTCCTTCCGAATGTACTCCTTCACGGGCTCCCACTGGGGGTCCATGTCAATGCTCGGGCTCAGGATGTACACGCGCTCGAAGCAGCCGCGGTACTGCTCCAGTATCATGCTCACGAGGAGAACGGTCTTCCCGGACGCGGACGGCGCGCATAGGATGCCGTTGGAGGGCGTCCTGCAGACCGCCGGGTCTCGCGGCTGCTTGACGTCGTAAGTTTGGCTGGGGAAGAGTTTCACCTTTCCCATGTCTTTTACTCCACAGCGCTTTGTAGCATTGGTACAGGCACATTTACACTCGCGGCGATCTCCTCGCACAGCCGAGGCGGGATGGAGTAGAGGTCGTTTTGCGTGAGTGTCGCGCCCCGCTGGGCCCGCACCGGGTGCCGCCCGTCCCGGAAGGCCTCGCAGCGCTGCCCCGCCGCGCACAGAGGCCGCGAGGGGACCCAGGGGAGGGTGCCCCAGATCCGCGTCCTCTTGCGGTAAGGATACCCGAATTGACAGTAGCAGACGTCCTGGAAGGGCAGGCCGCGCATGTAGGGCCGGCTCTTCAGGAGCCCGGTCTGCGGATTCTCCAGGCCCCAGTGCCGGGGCTTGAAGTAGTCGATGATCTCCAGCGTCCGGAGCACCAGGGCGTCGCCCTCCTCGAGTCTGCGCGGCCGCCGCGTAAGGGCCCTGGAGAATTCCGTGCAGACGGGCGAGGCCCAGACGACGTCGAAGTGCCCGGGCGGCAGCGTGCGGTAGTCCCACTCCAGGATGTCGGCCTTGATCGTCGGGGTCCCCGCCACGTCCAGGCTCACGACTTCCCAGCCGAGCTCCTGGAAGGCGCGGCCGATGCTCCCGGTCCCGCTGAAGAGCTCCAGCAACCGCATTTTCAGGTGACGTTGCCCGGGTGCCATGGGCCCCGCAGCTGCATGGGGTGGGGGCCGGGCGGCGGTGCACCGGGGGCGGACATGAGCCACAGCGCGACGATGACGCCGCCCAGGCCCACGAGCATGCAGAGGCACTCGCCCGGCTCCAGGCCGACGCGTTCAAGCCAGAGCATTTAAGAGGCTCGCGAGTAAATAAATGGAAGCCTCGCAGCAGCAGCCAGTGCCGGCGACCATGCAGCTGGGACCCGTTCAGACCAATGTCAAGGGAGGCAAGTACCTGCCCTTCGGCGCCGAGCCGCCTGTTTGGAAGTCGGGCTGGCTCAGAATTTTGTTCGAACCCTCCTGTTACGGAGATCCGCAGGCCCGCCGCGTGAGCATTTGCCTGGAGCCCGACGACGAGGCCGCCTCCTTCTTCGCCGCGACCGAGGACCGCGTCGCGCGCCTGTTGGCGGAGCAGTCGGCGCAAGTCTTCGGGAAGGCCCTGGGGGAGCCCGAGGTCCGCGCCCGCATGTGCCCCGTGTCCAAGACCACCACCCGCGGCAGCCCGTACCTGAAGCTGAAGCTCAACTTCGACAAGGTGCGGCTCTGGGGTCCCGCCGGCGAGCCCCTGGAAATGCCCCCGCAACTCCAGGGCACGCGCTGCAAGGTGAGGGCCGAGCTCAGGCAGGTCTGGCTCATGAGCGCGCAGTGCGGGCTGCTGGCCGAGGTCACGGACCTGCAGCTGGAGCAGGCGGAGCCCGAGAAGCCCGCGTGCCCCTTCTGACGCGTTCGCCGGCCCGGGCCCCGGCCGGGGTCGAAGGGAAATGTCATCGTGGGCTAGTCAACGAGAAGCGATTCGACGAGCAGCGGACGCCGGCGTCAGGCCGAGGGCATCGGCGAGCGGCTCCGAGATCTTGCCCCTCCGAGACGCCCGCCAGCGTCAGGTCCTGCTGACGCGCCCGGACGGGAACCTCACCCGAGCCGGGCAGTTCTTCTTCCAGATCACCGGCCTCCGGCCGCCCTCCCGCCGCTTCGACGAGCGCCAGGCTTTGGTTCGAGAGGGCCCCAACGACTACATCCTCTTGCGCGGCGGCGCCAGGAAGCTCGTCCGGAGCCTGCAGCCGGACGGCTCCTACCACGTTACGCGCCTGGGCAAGGCCTTCTTCAAGGACCGCTGGACGGACTACCTCGCCCACATGCCCGTCAAGATTCGCGGCACACGAAGAAGGGGCCGCAACGCGGGGCGGGGCTACGAGCGGGAGGACTTTCTCCCGGTCACGCTCGTGAACGCCGGGCTGTCCCGGCAGAGCGACGCGCTCTCCGAGGCGCAGATCCACCGCAACGTCAAGGAGGCCGCGCTGGCCAAGCTCGGGAACCCCGCGGACGGCGACCCGGTGCTGGAGCTCTCGGATGAGCACTACCTTTACGACGCCTCCCGGGACTGGGCCATCTCCTCCCAGCGCATGCAGGTCGTGCAGAACCGCGTGGAGACAGAGACCGCGCTCCGGCAGCCCCTCGGGGCGCTGCGGGACGTGAGCTTCCAGCTCTACCGGGGCTCCGAGGTCCTGGAGAGCGCCTTCCAGCGCCGCGACGACCGGCTCTGCGTGGTCCGGCAGCTCAGCGAGCTCACGAAGATCCCCTTCGAGGAGATCTTCTCCGACTTCGACGCCATCTGCAAGCGGGGCTGGACCTCCAAAGGCGTCAGCGCCCGGGAGATCCGCGAGTTCTGCGCCTGGCGGGGGGCTCCCCTGTTCGTCGTGAACTGCCGAGGGCAGCTCCTGGACGCCTACCAGCCCCCCGTGAAGCAGGAGAGAGCCCTGGCCCTCTGCATCTACCAGGGGCACGCCTTCTTCTACAAGAGCGCGAGGGTCGTCGCCTGGTGCGACGACGAGCCGAAGGATCGGGCCCAGTACCGCGGAGATCGGAGGGACTCGACGACGCCGCCCTTCTCCGAGTGGCGCGAGTGGGAGGGCCGCATCGAGCCGGGGCACTGGTGGACCGGGGACCTGCGCGCGGTGCGGGGGCGCCTCGTGGCGGACGGCCACCAGCCGAAGGTCGTCCTGTGCGGGCTCGTGGAGTGGCGCTACCTCCGCCTGCGCGCGCCGGGCGGCGACTGCGTGGTGCACCAGCGCCCGGAGGACGCCGAGGTGCTGCAGGAGTGGCTGCAGAACCTTGGCTTCGTGTACCGCGGCCAGCGCCTCGCGGCGGCGGCCAGCGAGGTCTTCTTCGAGTTCCTGCGCGCCCGGCGGCAGCGCGGGGACAAGGAGGAGATCCTGGCGCGGCAGCAGCACGCCTGCGCCCTGTGCGGTTGCCCCATCGAGGACTCCTGCGAGCTCGACCACATCGTCCCCGTCAACCAGACCTTCAGCGGCCAGCCGCAGGAGCTGCAGGCGCTCTGCCTCGAGTGCCACCGGCAGAAGACGTCCCTGGAGTGCGCCCACGCCGCGACCCTGGAGTCTCGGTTCTGCCGGCAGGTCTTCGAGGACTACGCTTTGTCCCAGCGGCTGCCGCCCTTGGTGTGCAAGCTGGCCAAGAGCGACCCGGACAAGCTCTACTACGGCGTGGACGTCGTGAGATGCCGCAAGAACGCGCTGGCCAACGCCCGCTTCCCTCTCCCGGTATTCTGTCCGCTCGACAGTATCAAGCGGGCCCAGGAGGGGGAGCTGGCCGACCTGACCTACGTTCGGCTCAGCGCGGACGCCCGCTCGGCGCTGCTCTCGAGGCTGCCATATGTGGGGCCCGGGTGGTATGCGAAGCCGGCGGTCGCCTACATGCTGGAGACGGGGCAGGCCGCCTGGGCGGACCTGCTGTGGTCCCTGGAGGCCACGGCGCACGTGCAGCAGGACTGCCTGGCCCGGGCGCTCGCGAAGATGGAGGAGGCCTGGCCCGAGGGCGAGGAGCACATGGCCAAGCTCTCCGTGAACGCCCTCATAGGGCTCTTCGCCCGCAACCAGGACATCGTCTACTCCATGCGCACCTCGAACTGGGAGGTGGACGGCCGGGGCTCGCAGTACCGCCAGAGCTTCCTGGACGCCGACGGGGGCTTCCACTGGGACTTCGTCTACGCCACGGAGCTTTACACCAACCGCTCCCTGCGCCCCGCTCACGACTTCGTCATGGCCGCGGAGTACGTGGCCGTGGCAAGGATCCGGCGGGCGCTGCGGGAGGTGCCGGCGCGGTACTTCGTCGCGCTGAAGACGGACTGCCTGGCCATTCAGGCCCTGCCGAGGAAGTTTCTCTCGGAGGTGCAGCGCCTCGTGCGGGAGAAGCACCCCGACGGCTCACCGATGTACCGCTTTGAGGAGGTCAGGCGCCTGGAGGGCGAGTACCGCGAGCCGAGCATGGACTCGGAGCCGCCGCGGGCGCAGGCCGCCTGGGTCCACGTGGAGGATCCCGCGGTTCATTGCCTGAACGGCAAGAGCCTGCTCCTCTCGGGGATGCCTGGGACGGGGAAGACCCATCTTGCCCGCCGCATCGTCGGGCAGCTCTGCGAGCTCGGAGACGTGGTCACCATCGTCAGCAAGACGCACTGCTCGGTGCAGAACATGGGCCTGGGGGCCCAGACGGCCGACCACTGGGTCCGGCGCACGCTCCGGAGCGGCCACTGCTCGCTGGACTGGCTGGTCGTCGAGGAGATCACCCAGCTGGACACGGGGCTTTGGGCAGACATCGCGGAGCTGTCGACGAACCGGCACGTGCGCTTCCTGCTGCTCGGGGACTTCCGGCAGCTGCCGGCAGTGCAAGACGCCTTCGGGGGCGCGCCGGTGCTGCGGGAGCTGAAGGACTCGCAGATGCTGCACGACCTGGCCGGCGGCTTCGTGCACGAGCTCAGGGAGAACCAGCGCAGCGACGACTTCATCTTCCGCTTCCTGCAGTACCTGCGCGTGGACGAGGCGGAGCAGGTGCCGCTGCGGGACGCCCTGCGGGTGGCGCGCGAGCAGTTCCCCCGGCGGGGCGCGCCGGAGACCTGCCTGGTCATCTCGCACGCCCAGCGCCTCGCGATCAACGAGCGGGAGAACAGGAGGCTGGCGCCGCCGGAGGCCCTGTTCATCGAGCACCGCGGCGCGGGCGCGGCGGGGACGAACCAAAGGATTTTTTCCATAAAAGCGTAGTGATCTTTTTTAATATAGTGTTGTTAACTTTGCCTGGTTTGGGTATCCAAATCTTCAAATAATAGCAACAACAAAATTGAATATCAAATCTAATTTTTTCATAGCCAAAAAAACCCAGTAAGGATCTGGGGCCTGGCCCCTCCCACTGACCCACATGCCAGGCCCCAGATCCTTCATTTCAGGTGGGCCTTGGCCCCACCCACTGTCCCACATGCCAAGGCCCCCTGGTCTGTCCTTTCAAGTATGTATGTATATATATATATATGTATGAAACTTGTAATGGGGC